ATGGATAAGGCTAGTGCTGCCAAGGTTGCTCAGAGTAGGGCCGAAGAGAGATCTGGTGTCGTGAAAGCCGTGGCCGAGGTAGCCAAGGTCGAGACCGAGGAATCCAAGGCTAAGGCGACCGAAGCTGAAGCACAGCTCAAGGAGGCTATCGATAATAAAGAGGTTGAGATCAAGGTGGCAAACCAAAAAGCCTATGCTGAAGGTCAAGCTGATGTGCGGGATGCCTATAAAGCATAAGTCAACTTGGCCGTCTACAGAGGATATTATCTTGGCTAGACGGTAGCCCACAACAAGCTGTCTATCCTCAATGACTCACCTCTCTAAGACATCAGCCAGCTCAACGTGCCCTTCCCTCCCTCTTACAATCAATCTGAGGACGAGGCTGAAGAAGTAGAAGAGGCCAATGATGAAGAGGCTAACAACAAGAAAGAATTTGAAGCTGTTGTTGGGGCCACGTCCCCTACCCTAAATATTAAGTCCTTGACTTGATTGGTGAGGAGGATGACAAGGCTTCCAAAGGTAGCTCTCCACAGAAGGCAACCTTCGAAGCTGAAATCCTCGCTGCCGAGAAGAGTCTGGACCAGACCCTTCTGGAAATTGATGCCGAAGTTGTGGCCGAGAAGTCCGCCATTCTTTTTGTTGACGTCGAAACAACGTCAATAGCTGAGGTTCAACAGTCTGTACAAGATCCTAATACTTAGGATTTTTTTTTTCTTTGGACTTTTGCTTTTGTCTTTCCAATAGTTATAATCTTCTGAACACTCTGTTTTTCGGGCCGAAGTGCCATCTGTTTGTAATTGAACAAGTTGCTTATTTTCAATGTAAGTTTGTCTTTTTTCTTCTAAGTGTTTGATTCTTTCTATGTATGCTCACTAGCTTTGCTTCATGCCCTACATATACTTGGAATTTTTCTAATCTTTCTAAGTTTGAGAACTTGGCTCCTCACCTTGGATACCCAGACCTCAGATACATCCACATGTCAGATTTAGAACTGATTAATTATCTTGGATAACCATACTTCTGTATCTCGGCTAAACAACACTTAAAAAATATTTCATCAAATTTTTACAAGTGCTGTTTCTTCATTTGTACTTGTTGTTTTCTAGTAAGACTTCACCTTTCGAAGTGTAACAACTTGACTAGATATCTTGGGCATAAATACCTCGAGTCTCCTTCCAAATAACTTCAACTTGTAAAATTTTCAAAAAGTTCACAAATGTTATGCTAATTCCTTATGCTCATTCTTGCCTTCTAATGTGGACCTAAGTATCACATATGTTCACATTAAGGACATATTACAAGGTTATCACCCAAGTCTCATTTAGACATTCTTGACCGAGGTCATCATGTTTGGCTCACCCAAACGAAGCACTTAAGGCTTAACCTTAGTGCACCGAGAGTGCCATACTCCTTGGCTTTGCTTCTAAACTGATCAAGTCATGGCCAGTTTCGTCATGTTTCATGTTGAAACATCTCAAACTTAGTTCAACTCTACCATCATGGCAAGTCTAAGTTATTCGTCATGTTTCATGCCGAAACATCGTCATAAGACTGTTCAGTCTTATCGCGCAAGCTTCAACAATATTTCATAAAAATAAAATCGAGCTAGCATTTTATTAATACTTCAACTAATAAAATCTTTACATAAACATAAATTAATGGTAGAAACATTTCAAATTGCTTGTGTTCCAGGGTCTTGGCAACTCCTTGCCATCAGTGTCTTCCAGCTGGTACGCGTCATCGCCAGCCATTGAGATGATTCGATATGGTCCTTCCTAGTTTGGGCTAAGCTTGCCCTCCCTGTGATCCTTCTTATTGCCGACAACCTTTCTAAGGATGAGATCCCTAATCTGAAACTCTCTGGGATTGATTTGTTGTATGCCCTAGCAAGCTGCTGCTGATATGCTCCCAGCCGAATTGCTGGTCTTTCCATTCTTTCTTCTATCAGATCAAGATCTCAGGCAAGGAATCCCTCATTTGTTCCATTCTCCACTCTCTAGGTTCTGATTCTAGGGATGTCGATTTCTAGTGGGATGACTGCTTTAGTGCCATATGCAATGGCCAAAGGAGATTCTCTAGTAGACCTTCTAGGCATAGTTTGATATGCCTATAGGACATTGGGCAATTTCTCCACTCACTTGCCCTGGACAACTTTAAGCCTTTTCTTGATTCCATCCAAGATGGTCTTATTGGATGCCTCTACTTGTCTATTGCTCTGGGGAAAGCTAGGAGTAGAATAATAGTTCTTAATCTTGTATTTTGCATGAAATTTTTTGATCTACTTGCTGTCAAATTACGTGCCATTATTTGCTACTATGGCTTTTGGGATTCCAAATTTGGTGATTATGTTTTTCCAGATGAAATTCTTCACGTCCACATCTTAGATTTTGGCTAAGGGTTTAGCCTCTACCACTTCGTGAAGTAGTTAGTTGCTACCAGTGGGAACTTCCTCTACCCAGTTGCCTGGGGCAGCTACCTAACAAGATCCATGCCCCCCCTGGGAAAATGATCAAGGATTGGATACTGGTTTCAGATCTGCAGCTGGCTGGTGTATCAAAGGTGCAAACCTTTGACACTTTTCACATTTCCTCGCACAGGCTTCAGCATCCTTCTATATGTAGGGCCACTAGTATCCCTGAGATATGGTCTTGTGAGCAAGTGACTTGCCCTTAGCATGGCTTCCATATACTCTCTCATGGATCTCGTACAGAAAGTCCTCAACTTGGGATGGATGCACACATCTCAAAAGGGGTCCAGTAAAGGACCTTCTGTATAGATGGCCTTCTGCTGACAGGCAGAATTTGACTGACTTCAACCTGGTCTTGTGAGCTTTTTTTTGTCTGCTGGCAGCCTGTCATCTTTGAGGAACACAACTATGGTGTCCATCCAACTTGGACCCATCTCCACGCACATTACTTCGTATTCTATTATTTGGGGTTTTATACTTGGGCTTGACAAATAATCAACCATTATTTTCCTAGCCTCACCTGATTTCATCGCACTAGCCAGGTTAGCCAGGGTGTTAGTGTGGCTATTATCATCTCGACTAACCTGCTGTAGTCGACAACTTCCGAACAGTGTTAGTAGCTTGACAACCTCCTTGACATAGGCTATCACCCTCTCATTTTGAGCTGCGTACTTGCCCATTGCTTGATTTACAATGAGCTAGGAATCACAGAAGATTACCACCTCATCGGTTTTCATTGCTGCTACTAGCCTTAGTCCAGCAATCAGTGCTTTGTATTCTACTTCGTTATTTAAGGCCTTGAACCCCAAACGGATGAATTGTTCTATCATTTGCCCATCTGGCGATACCAAAACCACTCCTGCCCCTACTCCTTGTTGATTTAAGCTACCATCAACAAAGAGGCGGAATGAGTCATCGATGTAAATGTCGCAGGGTTTTAGCCTTTCTTCAATCTTCTTCCGTTTTGCCAGCATGGGGTTCTGTGGCCCCAGTTAGTTTTCGTTTTCCTCTCCTGGACTTCCTAAGCCGCGGCTCATCGATGCCCGCCTTGGGATCGAGCCAGGGGAAGATTCTGCCACAAAGTTGGCCAAAATTTGGCCCTTGATTGCTATTCTCGGCCTGAATTCTAAGTCATACTGACCTAGAACCACTGCCCATTAAGCTACTCTACCTGTTAGGACTCCATGCTGTAATAGGGACTTTAGTGGATGTTCAGTTAGCACCACAATCTTGTGGGCTTAAAAATAGTGGTTCAACTTTTTCGAGGCTATTACCAAGGCCAATGCTAATTTCTCTAGAGGTAGGTACCTAGTTTATACACTTGCTAGGGTCTTGCTGACATAGTACACTGCCTTTTGCTCACCTCCTTCTTCTTGGATTACCATGGCACTTACGACGTGGTTTGAAACTGCCAGGTACAAAAATAACTCTTTTCTCGATACTGGGTTTGACAACACTGGTGGGGTTGTAAGGTATTTCTTCAAGTCGGCCAAGGCGACTTCGCATTCTTCTGTCTATAGAAAGTCTGTAGCCTTTTTTAATAAACCAAAAAACTGTTTGCATTTATCCGAACATTGGCTAATGAATCTGTTCAAGGCCACTGCCCTTCCAGTCAAAATCTGGACTTACTTGGCTGTTGTCGGGCTCTTCAACTCAAGGTTGGCCTTAATCTGATCTGAGCTTGCTTCAATACCCCTCCTGGTGACCAAGAATCCCAAGAACTTACCGGATCCGACTCCAAATGCGCACTTCAAGGCATTGAGTCGAAGCCAATATGATCTCAGGATGTCAAAGACCGCCTTTAGATCGACCAAATGGTTCCAAGGTTCCTTGGTTTTAACAACCATATTGTCTATGTAGACCTCCACTGTCTTCACAATCAGATGTTTGAACATCTTGGTGACCAGTCTTTGGTAAGTTACTCCTATATTCTTCAACCCAAAAGGCATTTCTCTTGGGCAGTGGGAAACTGTCCTTGGGGCAAGCCTTGTTCAGGCTTGTGAAGTCCACGCAGACCCTCTACTTCCCATTATTCTTTTTCACCACTACTGTATTAGATAACCAGGTGGGATAATTTACCTCCCTGATGGCCTATGCCTCTAGTAGCTTGTCTACTTCTTCCTTGACTGTTTGCACATGTATCAATGTCAATCTTCTTGCCCTTAGGACTACTGGTTTTAACAACCTATCCACGTTGAGTTTGTGACAGGTGGCCTTGGGGCTAATCCCCGGTATCTCATAAGGTGTCCAAGAAAACACCTCTATGTTTTCTCTCAAGAAAGCCTCTAGTTCTCTTTCTTCTTCGTTAGCTAAGTCGGAGCCAAAGAGGAAGAATCATTCATTATCTCCTTCTTACACTAAGACTTTTTTCAATGGTTCTTCACTTTTCTTGGCAGGCTCTTTGCCGACATCATCCAAGACCTCTTAGTCTTCACTTTCAATCTCTGCACTTTCTGCTTCCCTTACATTATAGGTACACTTCATTACTGCCATGGAGTAATTTTTTGCTTGTACCTAGTCTCTTAGTACCTCTTCAATCCCCTGTTCTATTAGGAATCGCAACAGTTGGTGTAGCGTTGAGGGAACAACCCTTATAGCATGTAACTAAGGTCATCCCAAAATGATATTGTATGGGGAGAGAGTATCTATCACAGTGAACTTCATTGTTACCTTTTTGCTCCCTGCCTGCACCTCCAAATTTGTGGCTTTCGTTGAATCCGACCATAGGGCTGTTAGATTGCTCTAAATCATCCGGGTGGAGGCCGAGCTCCTTGTAACATCTGACATACATCTGACATACGTGATGTCACAAGAACTGCCTTAGTCAATCAGCATGCATCTCACCTGGCAATCTCCAATCTTCAAGGTTACCACCTGGGCATCATTGTGCGGGTGCTGCACTATATCCAAGTCGGCCTCAGTGAAAGAAATCATCGGTCCCTGATATTCACTTGTTCTGGGTTTCTTTTGTTGGATCTGATATACATGTTGTAGGTGCCGTACTCTCTGGGTCTCCCCTCGAACTTCATTCTCATTGACCTTCAAGTGAATCACATTGATTACTCGAGGTCCTTCTGCCTGCTGTGGTGGTAGTGGGAGAGGTGGTGCTGCTGGTGCATGGGGCAGCTTCATGTGCTCTTCCCTTGTCTTCGCCTTGTCTACTAGGTTTTTCAAGTGACATTGTCTAACCAGATCCTCTAAGTGTGACTTCAGAGCCCTACATCCCTGAGTTAGGTGCCCATCCTCATTATGGTAGGTACAATGCTTCCTAGTGCTCCTACCCATAAACTCACCAGGGACCTTCTCCGGTGCTCTGTAGTACGGCTGGTTCCTAATCCTTCCCAAAACTTTATAGATCGAGATCTTGAATACCGTGCTGACCGCTTGCATAGCCCTTGCTCCTATTTCCTGCCTGTCAACACTGGCATTCCCTCGGCCTCGCTTCAGCGAGCTGTTTCTCCTTTCTTGTTTCAGCGTCCTTGCTCCTTGTGTGTCTTCCTCTGCTCTGACATATGTCTCAATCCGTGCTATGAGCTCTTCCATGCTCTTCGAAAAGGTTTTTGCAAGTGATTTTGGAAGTGAGCATTTATCATCCAGGCCATTCTTGAAAGACACGACTACTAGCTCCTTGTTACAAGCTAGAATTTTGTTGTAGACCTCATAGTATCTCTTGGTGTAAGCCTTGAGGCCTTTGTTATCACTAATCTTTAGAGCCAATAGGGAATCTACCCTCAGTGGCTGTGACTTGTCAGTAACAAACCTAGCTACAAACATCTCGGCCAGGCCTTCCCAACTCTTCATAGTTCTTTTCTGCAACTTATGGAACCAATTTGATGTTATCTCCCCAAAGGATGAGGGGAATACTTTACATAGCAGCTGCTCATTCTCGTTTCACAAAGCCATTGAATTTAAATACAAACCAACATGAAAGTTTGGATTAGACTTACCATCATAGATTTGAAACCTTAGCATGTTGAATCTCTTTGGGGCTTCAAACGTATCCAACTCCACCGAGAATGGCATCGTCAGCTTGACGGTGGACGTGATCTCGGCGTTAAGCCTCTTCCTCTCGAGGTAGTCTCTCAAATTCTTCTTCGTTCTACCTAGAGCTGGCTATCAATATATTTTAGCTTCTTTGGCGTGCTGCTCCTGGTATAATTGTGCGTCCTCTTGGACTTCCCTTCATCCACTACATCAAAACAGAGGCCCTTCCCTTAGGTATGCCGAGATCCTTTGACATAAGTCAATGCTGCTCCTGGTATTATTTGTGGTGTCTTGTGCGACTCACCTTGTATTGACTCTGTTTGCCTGACATTCCGTGATGGCTGATGTGAGTGCTCCTGTCCCTTGCCATGCTGTGGGACCACTAGGACTGTCTTTTGTCCTTTTTCTAGGCATCAGTTTTGGCTTCTAGTGCCGGGGTCTCCTGCAACAGGAATGGTGGTTGCATCACGTTGTTTTTAATCATAAAGTTGACCACTAATTGTAGGTCTACCAACTTGTTTTCCATTCTTTTCATCTCTCCATCCCTTCTTAGGCATCTATCCTTCCATACCTGGAGATTGTTTTCATTGTAGTATTCATCTCGGCCTCCCTTCTTCAGGATGTTACGCTCTTTATCGGCATCATTTTCCCTAGGATTTGGTTCTTGTACTCCTTCATTACGGTTTTCTTCCCTAGCATTAGGACCCACATGTTCCTCCTCCTCACTGTGGATGTCGTCCCAAATTTTTTCTTCCTACCCGTAGTTGGCTATCTATTCTCCTTAAGTTCCCACAGACGGCGCCGAATTGTGGGTGTTGATTTTTGGCCACACAACTAAAAGGGGAATTCAACTGGAAAGTTTCAGCAGAATAGAATGAACCAACTACTTGTCAGTCATGAGATAAGAATTTCGCGGTGGTTCGTTTACTTAGGGGCACTCCAATGATCAAGTCTGTAAACTTTATCTCTCACTGATAGTAGATAATACTTAAACTCATCAAAAAGAACTTACCTCAGGCCAACGAGGGTGCTATGCTTTTATAACCAGCAGTGACCTGATCCCCTAGAAGCCTTACTTCTTTGGACTCAGGCTCAATGCTCATCTTGGACTCTCAGCGAGATAGGGATAAACTCTTCATGAGCCTTATCCTTATCTAGACTAAGATCCTCTCCTATTCTAGGACTCTTGTCCCTTATCCGGATACCTTGGGATTCTGGTATTACCACAGAACATCTCGGTAATGCCGTGATCACCTTGGCAACATGAATCATCCACGTAGCACCTTAGTCGACGTCTCGGTCTATCTTGGCCATGTGGCGTCATTCGCAAAAATACTTCCCCACAACACTATTTCAGAGGGTTCACAATAACCATCGGTTACAATCCATTGCAACACTCTCACAAATAATAATCAACTCTGCTCCAAAGGGTTTGGAACAACCTTGATTCACAATCTAAAATAGATTCTACAATCAACATTACCCACTCTATTTTGGATGTTTTAGACTAAATCCGTTAGATAGCCCATTGGTTTTAAATCAAAACATAACAACCCACTTTGTTTCTATCACGCCCCAAAATTTATTGACAATAGATACCCTCATAATACTTAATGGATATGCGAAAATTTATAGTCTCAAACATATAATATTGACATCATTTCCAGAACTAATATTCATTCATTGATTTCCATAAAATATTACAAAAGGTGTCACATGCATTAATATGTTCACTAATCCTAGGATTTGAATCTATAACATGTGATCCACATATTGAAACAATAGTAGGTAAATACAAATTCATGCCTTAAAGGCTACAAATTTCCAAGACAATGCTTGGTGTAACAAAAGTGGGTCAAGCCCAATACATAGAAAACCTTAGGCTTATGCAAAAGAATATTTACATAAAAAAAAAATAGAATGAGCCCTCAACCCCACAATCCTCCTAAGCTAACCCCTTGGTGGATGCAATCATCAACATTTGAAAGTTGTTTTCCATGAAGGGTGAGTTAAAACTCAATAGAGATAAGTTTAATTCTTTGTATGATACTTAACAAAGCCATATGGTGAATGTACATGAATGTCATTTATCTAAAATAATACATTTTCTTTCTCAAATAATGCAATGTCATGTCGATAATTCAATTCATTAATCGATACTTCCAAAACAAAAAACAAGGTAGTGGATATGCACACTAAGAATCTCTAGGTACGTATCTGCCAATAGGCTATAAAAATACTACCAAAGCCATTTTGCCAGTACTAACTGTAAGGATTGACAGCTAACCACATAGGTTTCTGGACTTTCACCAAGGAACACAGGCCAACATAATAATAACCACAACTACACCCCCTAACCAGATTCACCAAGGTATTCACCATTTTTTTTCTCAAAATGATATAGTTTCAATGTATAAATATGAAATAAGTGTTCAAATGCAATGCATGAGTGACTAGTTTCAATTAGCGTAGTTCTCATGTAATTTCTACAACAATCAATGATATCCTTCACTGATAGCCAAAATAGAATATCTCTATTCAAAAGATAAATTTCAAGCAACAGATATAAATTATGAAATTTCAATATAGGAGTAACAATACTTGTTCAACTCCTTTTCCCAATCAAACATGAATTAGAATATTATTTCACAATCCCATCACTTTCCCCATTTGTTCCAAACCAACAATCCTAAGGATTTCTAATATTTCAAACATCTGTTCATTTCAAAAACCTCATTTAAGAGAGATTCTAAAATTTCCAATACTTTTCATCCACCAAACCATTTCATTTAAACCTATCACAAAAATCCCTATTTTATAACCCAATTCAAAACCCAAAATCAAATCCAAAACTCTCGAAATACTACTCTATTCAAAGGGCACATAACGAAACTAAATACCATGCAATAGTATTAAAGGAATCCCTACCTTAAAAGCAAAAGAGAGTGAGCAACTTCCCAAAATTGACTGTGACCAAAACTCAAACTTTTTAGATTAAAAGAACTATCTCATCGTGCTCTATCTTTTATCCTAAAGCACCAAGGAGGCGAGGTTCACAAATTCGAGTATATAGAGAGAGGTTTATGCAAGAATTTAGAGAGAGAGAGATGAGAAGATTTGATTCAGAAAGTAGAGAGAGAGAGAGAGAGACAGAAGTAGATTAGTGAGAAAAGATCTTTTTCCTGTTGCTTTCTACAAATAGACCGCTCAAGCGATCAAAACACTGCTTGAGCATCAGACACAAATTATTGCTCGAGCGACCAAAACTAGGCTCGAGTGGAGAAATTGAACTTCCAGACAACTAACCCTGCAGAATAGACTACTTGAGCAAAGAAAGACCTACTCTTAGAAGTTTAGCCTACAAACACAGATTTTGGAAGAAACGAAAGATCGCTCGAGTGAAGAAAAGATCGCTCGAGTAAACCTAAGAACAAACAGACGGAATTTTCCCATAACTACTAAGTCCTAAACTATTTCAAACATAACCCACAATCTAAATTTCCACTTCCAAACAACAACAAGGACTAGAACAGATATAAACAACATCAATATATACAAAACTCAGAACCATGGAGTATAAATAGGTCGGGTCATAACCTGGGCTGCTATAGTTTCAGAACCAAATAGTCGATCGCATTGTCTCTCAATCAACACTATTTCATAACCTTTTTTTTTATTATTATTTTCATTCTTTGTTCATAGTTCTGATATATTAAATTTTAATTACCTAAATTTCTTTATTATGTTTTTAACTGGTTTGTGTCAATTTCGATGAAAAAAAAAATGATCGTGATTTGTTACAATTACTAATGATAGGATTTATCACAGATGCAATTTTAGAACGTTGTGCTCAACAAAGCAATTGATATGCTATATGTATACTTGAACATCAAAATACTAGGTGCTTATGTGTAATGAATATGCTTATATTTTCTTAGATGTTGATTGGGCTTATGAGTTTCTAGAAGTCCTGTTAGAAGAGCACTTGATCACTGCTATTGCTAACTGGAACTTTGGCAATGTTGCAAGATGATCATTATCTAGAAAGGAAGTTCGTTTGTGTTTATGTGATTAGGTGCTTATGTGTAGTGAATTATTTGTTGTCCATCGTATTAGGACGCGAGTGAAATAATTTCGGCACATTTATAAATGTGCTAATCTATTGTGTTACCTTTATTAGGATATCAAGACATGGATGTGGACGTAGTGGTGGTAGGCTTGGCAAGCCTAGGCAGCAGGAGGTGCTGTTGCCGGATGATATTGCCGAGCTAGTAGGCCAGCAAGCCATGGGCGCTTTGCAGGAATCCATAGAGTCAAGTCCAGGCTTATATTGCTAAGACATGGCCATCTTTTTTAAAATGGGAGTTCTTCTAGTCAAATCTAGATGAGTTTTTGGGGGATCTGAAAGAGCCACTGAATGCGGATGAGTGGCTTGAGTAGATGATGAAGACGTTCAAGATGCTTGGCATCGAGGACGACGGGTTGAGAGTAACCTTGGAATCTTTCTATCTGAAAGGAGATGCGGGTCAATTATAGAAATATGAGTGAGGGTGCATTGGGTGACTTGGGAGGCCTTTGTCAATACCTTCCAGGACAAGTTTTTTCTTTCCACTGTTAGGGAGAAGTTGAGAGACCAGTTCTTGAAGCTTAAGCAGCTGAACACACATGTAGCTGAGTTAGAGGCTGTTTTTACTAGCCTATCTAGATTTGCATCGAAACTTATGGCGACGGAGGAACGCCGTTGCATTGAGTTCAAGAAGAGGTTGAGAACCAGACTCTTTTTCAAGGTGGCCAGGTCTGTGATTAGGGATTATGGT